GGCCGGCAAGGGTCCCACATGACTCTGCAGACCTCTCCTGTCTCCCCACTGCTCCCCTCAGCAGTGTATTTTGTCAGTCTTCCTGTTCTGTTCCCCACTCTGTCTCTGGTGAATCCTCTCAGCCTCCTGTGCATCTCGCCTGTATCCCAGCTCTTGTATAAATGAAAAAAAAAAACTTAAAAAAATGGAAAATAAAATAAATGAAGAGATTGCTTACTTGGTCATTTAAATTCAATTTTAAAAACCCTGTAAGGGGGCCTCCCTGGTGGCACAAGGGGTTAGATGCAACCTATGAAGCTGTCTGCAGCCACTGCAGCTCAGGTTCAGTCCCTTCCAGGGAGATACCCACATGTCGTGGCAGACCTCTCCTGTCTCAGTCTGAGCTGTTCCCCTCAGTGATGTATTTCAGTCAATCCACCTGTTCTGTTTCTCACTCTGTCTCTGGTGGATCCTCTCACTGCCCACAACCCCTGCATCGCTGGCCTGTACCCCAGCTCTTGTATGCATAAATAAATAAATCTTAAAAAAAAAAACCTGTAAGACCACAGACGATACTGACTTGTGGTCAGATCCTGTCCTGGTAGACAATTTCTATCCTCTGGGTGACATTTATGCTTGCTGTCTGCATCTCAGGGGCAGATTACTCTTTGCCCTCCCTGGACTCTAATATGTACAAGGCAAGGCCATGTCTTCCAGGTTTTGTCTCCTGTACTGAGCACCTGCTGTGCTGGGCTTGCAGAAGGAATCATACATGTTTGTTAAGTGCATTATGTCCCATTCACTCATCTCATCTATACTGATCTGTATCAATTTAACACATGTATCATTAAGAGAGAAAAACTGACCCCAGAGTACAAGGCAGAGATGGTCTGAAATCCAAAGTGCTTTGGTAAACCTCATATAAAAGCATCAGGAGTGAGTCATAGATGAATTTACAGGGACCCTTGATTCCTGGATTTGCACTACCCCACTCAAATCTGTACTACATGTATGAGCCCTTTACAGAAATAACGGGCACTTTTTCAGTTGTTCTAAATATACATATAAAGGCTATTTCTCTGCCCTATGCACCAAAGCAAACTTACTTGTCTTCCTCGGCATCAAATGCTACATGTAGGAAAGCCTTTAACTCTCTGGCTCTGGGTTTTGTTTTCCTAACAAATAAGCTCACATTTCATACTGTCCACAGTCTTCCACTTCTTTCATTTTTGGACCATATCAAGTGGGGATAAATTATAAATTTGACTCACTCAAGATACTAACTGAAATCATTATTCTATTTTATCAGTGTCCAGAATGTAAACAAACAGGGCAGATTTGTTCTTCAATAAAATCAGTGTTATGCAATGGAAGGCTGTGATTGCTTAGTATAATAAAACTGCAAGCAGGGTGACCATGTGGTGTCAGTCACAGAACATAATGCAGACACAAAAAGGTGAGAGTCTCACGGGTGTGTCTAGACCTAGAGAGCACAGATGTTTTGGTGGAGGGACATTCATTATCTACTGAGCGTTTGGTGTCCTGAGTCCACCTGGGCAGGCTCTCCTTGGAAGCATGAAGTTGTCTATCAAAGTCTTGTTCTGGATGTTTCACCTGCAGCCCAGCTTCCCCTTCCTCACCCCCATTCTAATTCAGGCCCCATTTCTGTGTCCCACTTTGCCCAAGGCAGTCCTGGGAAATGATTCAATTCCTTCAGGAAACCCATCGTGTTGTAGAAGAGATGAGGTCTATTACCTTGAATCTGTAGGTGACAGTGGGTGCCAGCACTTGATGTTAATGGAGTTTTGAGGGCACAGCTGGAAAAGGAAGTGTGCTAATTAGCCCTGACTTAATGGATGCTGGACTGGGTGGGGTTATATAATCACCATCTCTGGTGCAGTCCTCATTTAAAGCTGAATGCATTTCAAGCACTTAGGGCCCCTCACACATCCCAAAAGAGCCACGCCAGGGCCTGTAGATTTGAGACAACATTGCTCTTCAGGCCATAGTTCTGCCCCTCAAAGACTGCAAGCACACTACCACCCAAGGCTTGCCCCTGCTGGTCCCCCTGCTTGTCCTTCCTTGCTTTCAGAGAGGCTTTCCCTGAAGTCTTGATTTAAGACAATATGGCCTTTCTTCTTCCTTGCTTATTTCTTCTCCATAGTGTTAATCGTCAAGCTATCCACCACACTGCCAGCTTAGTGATGTTGATGATGTGTCATCTTTTTAATTTTTATTATAGAAGCACCATTGGTTTACATTTTTGTTAGTGTTTTGGGAGTATAGAATTTCCCCCTCAGGTGCAAAAACCTATACTTGTCTGTTTAGCAGAGATGAGTGGACTTCCTCCCCAAAAAGGAGTTTTTTAAAGTAATAGAGGAATCAAATGAAATAATTTTCAGTGGCCATATGGAAGAGATAATGTGGTATATATACACATACACACAATGGAATACTACTCTGCAAACAAAAAATGATAAATTCACACCATTGATGGCAACATGAATGGAACTGGAAGCTATTATGCCAAGCAAAATAAGCCAGAAGAGCAAAGATAAATACTGGATGATGTTACTTTTCTGTGGAATATCAAGAAACCAAACAAAGTTTGTCAAAGACAAACTTTAGAGTCTATAAATCCTTGATGATGTGTCTTCTTGCCTAGGACACCAGCACCTTGAGGGCAGGGGACAGCAGAGTCCTTGTACATCTAGTAGGCTGGGTTAACAGTTTAACCAATCAACTCAATGCCTTCCAGGGATGGATCATATTGCACAGGTTATGTTGGACATATAGGAATGTTCTGACAGGCCTATGACTCCAACCCCCAATTTAAAAACCAATAGCAAGTCCAGATTTGATTTTACAAAGTCGAGTCAGTCAGAGTTACCTGTGAGGGGGAAGATGTAAGGACCAAAGCTTATTGGAATCTCTTATTTTGACAAGTGCCCTCATAGACACGCTCGTCACTCAGGTCATTAGCTCATGTTCCTTCGTCTAGCAACTTATAAACACGATAGGACTGTGGACTTTCTCGACATTGTCTTTGCTTCTCACCAGAGGAACTCTTCAAAGCAAACAAAGTTATTGTCTTGCTGACTTTATTGCCCAGGCAGCCTTGCCAGTGTGGAAAGGACATTTCCAGCAGAGCAAACTGTAGAATTCTTTCCTTCTTTTTGAGTCTACAGCACCTTTTCCAAAATCTCTTTCTGTAAGCATGTGTCATACATACAGTGTAATACACTTACATTCTATTGTCATCGTCTGTGTCACATTCTGGTGTACCCAAACTTGCAAAATGATTCTTTAAAATGTAGGTAGACCAAGGGTCATTCTTAGTGCTGTGAGTTCTATGGGTTTTGACAAATGCATGTTGGTAAATGCAGCTATCTTAGTATTTTCCTAATAAGTTACTTGTGTTTTTAACATCATTTTTGCAGAGCATAAACTTTTAATAAAGTGCAAAGGTCTGTTTATTATTTCATAGGTCATGCTTCTAGTGTTTTACCTAAAAAGTTATTAGCAAATCCAAAGTCACATCTATTTGTATTATTATGTCATATTCGAGAAGTTTTATAGTATTGCATTTTACTTTCATGTTTATGATTCAATTTGCATTTGTTCATTTTAAAATAAGGTTTAGGTCTGTATCTAGGTCCATTTTATGAGTGTTGTTGGTTTCTGTGTATAGGTCTCCTGCAAATTTTGTTAGATTTATGCTTAGATATTTATTTTTTTTTTTTTTTTCATTTATTATTATGTATTTATTTTTAAAGAGTTATTTATTTATTTATTTATTTATTATTTATACAAGCACTGGCTACATTCAGAAGCATGGGAGGATGAGAGAATTCCCCAGAGACAGAGCAGGGAACAGAACAGGCAGACTGACGAAGTACGCTGCTGAGGGGAGCAGCGGTCAGAAGGAGAGGTCTGTGTGCTATGTGGGAACCTTGTTGGTGGCCGGGGATGGAACCAGTGCTGCAGAGAATGCGGGCAGCTTCACAGCCCAGCGCTCAACCACTGCACCACCAGGGGAGGCCTTAGGTATTTCATTTGGGGTAGAATAATTATAACAGATAATGTTTCTTTAATTTTAAATCCCAGTTGTTTGTGTTGCTTATGGGGAAACTAATAAACTTTTGTATATTGACCACATACCCTGCAACCTTCCTATAATTGCTAATTATTTCTGAGATTTTTTTAAGATTTCTAGTGGTTTTCTACCTGGAATACAAAATTGATTGTTTCATATCAATATGTATTCCCTTTATAGCTTTTCTTTTCTTTTACTTATCATATTAGTAAGGACAGCCCCGCAGTTCTGAATTGGTATAGTGGCAGAGGACAAAATGGCCTTTTTCTCCATCTGAAGAGGAAATCTATTTGGTGGCTCATCTTTAAGTGTAATGTTAGTTACATGTTTTCTTTTATACATTTAATTAGTTTAAGGAAAAGCCCCTTAAATTCTGGGTTTTTGAATTTACTTTTTTTTAATTTTGAATATGTGTTGAAATATATTGAGTGTTTTTATGTCTGTTGATACAGTAATATATATTTTCTTATTCACTCTTAATGTAAACTGTTATATTACTTGATATGTAAGTGTTGAACTGGTCTTGTATTACAGGAATGAACCACACTTAGCCATGATGTATATAATTTTTCAATAATTTCAATACAAGTCACTGGATGTGATTTTTTTAACATCGCTAGTTTTCAGTTTTATTATCTTTTTATTATATTTAGTTGTTTTGGTTTACAAAGTAATTATGGTCTCAAAAATGAATTGTGTTACGCAGGAGGCGCAATACGGAGGCAGAGTGAAGACACTGGGCTCAGCGCCGCCATAAACTCACAACAATGTGCAGGACAACATCGATGCCCCTGAAAGAGAAATGGGTGACCAGGGCACACACCAGGAGCAGGGACCAATGGCAAGAAACTGGGAAAACGTTAACTGACCTGCATCTACAGTTATACTGGAGCAGAATTAAACCCCCTACAGATGTGGACTTGGGGACACAGGCCACATTGGGGACTTTGGAGATTCAGCACTTCCCTCAGCGCTGGGCTCAACCCGCTGGGCCCTCCGGGAGGCCCTATTTTTGAAGACACCGTACCAATTCTCTACAGCTGTGTGTTTTTCTGATGGTAGAAGGTACATAAATACTTCATACCTATAGATGCACACACAAGCCACACTCATGTAGACTCATATGCACAAACTTGCACACAGTGCAAGACATGCACATACACCTAAAGAAAATAGTGCAAATACCTAATTCCATACTCACAGCTAGCTCTGCTTCACACTCCTGTCTCACTGTCTTATCACCACTTGACCTCTCTCACTTTTCTAAAATTTTCTAAATGCTTTCCAAAATTTTCTAAATTTTCTAAACTTTTCACTGCTTATTACAAGAATGTTAAAGGATTTTTAGGTTTCTGATGTCCAATGTGTTGGAAGTGTGAGTGCAGTCATAAACGGGAAGCAAACATGGTCAGTTTCAAACACCAATTTAATGTGTCCTGGGATAGACATTTTAACTAAATAATCCATTTCAGACTGTCTCCTCCAGGCGTAGAAAGAGCGTCCAGATGCCTCCACACCCCAGGGCTTGCAGGAAGAACAGGTCACCTGGAGGTGCCCCTGCAGTGGGAACCAGTGTGTCCACGGCGGCCGCCTCCTCGTGCCCTCTGGGACCTGCGTGGGAAGAGCAGAGCCAGTGAAGCCCAAGCACGGAGGAGGCTCTTTCCTTAGTGACACCCCCCGGGAAGTGCTGCATGGACTCATATGCGACAAAGTACAGATGGAAACCAGGAGGCCCTATCGAGGCACCACTCACTGGCGGGTAAGCAATTCTCAAAGTTGGAATCTCCGTTGTGAAAAGGGGCTCAGTAGAGGGGGACTTCCTACCGTGTATGTCAGTCCCTGACAGCGCCAGTCAGACCGAAGAGCTCCTGCATCGTCTGCGCCATCCGGGTGCCCAGGGGCCACCAGCAGGGCCCACACGGGATAGAGCCTAAGATGGGGAAGCAAGGCCCTGGGGTCCCAGCCTATGGCCCGGGGCCTCTGGGGCTCAGCCCACACAGCTCCACTCCCATCCTGGGCCCTGCACCTGCTCAGCTGCCCTAAGCCCTCCTCTCCCCCTTCCTCTGCTCTGTTCCCCTCAGGTGCTTCACCAGACCCATTGCCCTCCCTGCCCTTCACCTGCTCTGCTCCTGGGACTGCTGTGCTTCGGACATCTGTGCTCCACACCTATGTTCTCATGCTGCTTCTGGCCCCTCTGGCTTGGCCCAGCCCTCTCCAGGGCTCGGCCTCTGCTGGCGTGCTCCTTTCACTATGGCCACTGAGTGGCTGCCCTGGAGTGGGGAAGTGAATTCTAGGGAGGTGCTGGTGACCATCTAATCCCCAGCAGGGTGAACTCTGCTCTTGTGTTTTCTTCCGAAGGGTGGACAGAAAATGCAACATTTTAAAATCCTATTAATGATTCAATGAGCTCTGGCCTTGTAGCCTCCGCTGGACTGAAGGGTGGATTGGGAATGGTGTTAATAGCCCAGTGTCTCTGCAGGGGGTGGGCTGAACAGGGGCTCCTCCTTGGGGTTATTCGGGTGGTGCTGGAGAGCTGGGGGGGCTGGGCTGGAGGTCTTCCTAATGCTTTCCTGCCCCCCCTCCAGCTGGGGGCCTAGCAAGGTGGTGCTGGGCTGCAGGGCTTCCTCCTGTAGGGGGCCTGGCAGTGATGTGGTGTTGAGCCCCCAGGCCTCCCGCAGCACAGGCCCTGACCTGGAGGCCATGCTGGGCTTCCAGGCGTCCGGCAGCAGGGGCCCTGAGCCGGAGACAGAACTCTGCAGGCTGGCATCCTTCTGCGGGATGCCTAGCCCGGAGGTGGTGTTGGGCTTCTGGGTGTCCTGCTTCGGGGACAGTCCCACCCGCAAGATTTCCCGTCCTGAGAACTGAGGCTGCTGGTGGTCCTCTGGTATCGGGGTGCAGTGGGCCCCATTGGGACTGAGGAGCTTGGGGAAGAGAGTGGGGTCCGGCCCCTCCTCGCCCACCCACTGCCTGGAAAGCAGCATGAGGTAGGACCCCATCACAGGGTCATACCTGCCCTCCAAAAGCGCCCTGTCGATGACCTATTTCCGGAACCCCAGGCAGACCAGGGCTTCCATGGCAGCCTTGTGCTAGCCTGGGACGGCTTGCAGCAGAGTGGGAGTCCATTGGGCAGCCCCACCCAGGGGTGCTGGATGATGCTGTCCAGGGTGCTGCGGCTCTGGGTGTCGAGCATCATCATCTTCCTTAGCAGGTCACGGCACTGCTGGGAGAGGTAGTGCGGCTCGTTGTAGACACCACTCAGCACCCTGGCCCGCAGCTCCCTGAGGCTGTTGCCCTTGAAGGGCAGCTCCGTGTCCATGTCATAGAGGACCACCCCCAGGCTCCTGATGTATGCCGTGGGGCCACTGTACTCCTGGTGACGGAGGATCTCGTGTGCCACAAACTGCGGGCTGCTGCAGGGGGTCTTGAGCAGCGCTGTCCCAGAGAACTGGGCACTGAGACCGAAGTCTGCCAGTTTTATGTTTCGGTGCTGGTCCAGGAGCAGGTTCTCTGGCTTCAGGTCCCAGTGCACCACGCCCTGGGCTTAGCAGTGGCTGAGCGCAGTGAGGATCTGCTGGAAGATGCGGCGCGCCTCCATCTCCCCCAGGTGCCCGCACCTGCAAAGTAGTCCTGCAGGTCGCCCTCCTGAGTGCGCTCCAGGACCAGTAGCACCTCATCCTCAGTGTCCACCACCTGGAAGAGCTGGAGAATGTTCGGGTGCCAAAGGACTTTCATGCAGGCCACCTCGCAGACCGGGAACCTCTGAGGCGTGCAGGACTTGGGGATGACCTTTATGGCCACTTCCGTGCCCATCGGCAGGTGCCGCGCCTGCTTGATCTTGGCGTGGGTGCCCTCCCGCAGCTTGCCGAGCATCACATACTGTCTCAGGGCCATTCCCTGGGCAGACATGCACATCGAGGCAGTGAGGGCGGACCCGCTCCTACACTCGCAGGCCCTGGCTGTCTAGAGCCCTCGGCACTAGCTCCGCTACCCGATTAACAAGTTCACTACTAGCCTAGAGCTAGGAGTACGTGAAAAGGATCCCCGAAACTAACTAAATGCTCCCCGCGCTGACTCCTCTACCGAAACAGTAAGGATGCTAACTACTTTTACCAGAAATACTAACTATGCTAACCTAAATAGGATACTAATACTAACTACACACTCAAAAATGAAAACACACAACCAAAAAATTAACAAAGATAAATACTTAAAAATATAAAAAAAATAACAAACTAACAACTCCAAATAACAAGAACACAGACAAACGAACAAACCACAAGCGAACAAACAATTACAAACTAACAAGTAAAATAAAAAAAAAAAAACAGACAAACAACAAAGGGGAAATAAAAACACGCAAAAATAACAACACCAGGGAAAATGGGGGCAATAAAATTAAAAAATAAAAACAAATAAAAAAATAAAATAATAAAAGGAAAAAAATAAGCAAATAATAAAACAAAAAAGGAAAATAAAAAAAAACAGAATTAAAAATAAAATAACTAAAATAGCTAAAATAAATAACTGAATAAGAAATAACCAAAGCAAAAGCAATCCAATCCACCAACATGCCTCTCTCTCCCTCCGTGTCCACCGTCAAGATCCCAACACTCCTCGCTCTACCTACACCGCCGCCGGCTGCGCGGGGGCTTAAGTAGGCTCCCGGGTGACATCACAGAGCTCTCTGTTGCGTCAGAGCAGAGGCCACGCACCCCGCAGAGGGCACCCCGGGGGCCATTCAGCCTTCACAGCACAGCAACCGCCAAGAGGTGTGTGGACAGACTCCCTGGAGACTGGACTCCACCCCGTTCCAGAAGCCCGCGGGGCGCTGGCGAGGCCGTGTCCTCTGTCGCGAGCACCTGTCCCAGGTTTCAGCTTTTAGGGTCTCTCCGCACAGTCCCCCTCAAACCCTGATGTGTCTCACAGGACACGACACATCCACAGGCACAATAAACGACACCATGTTGAGAGCATGAGACGCGACAGAGTCCACTCTTCTCACCCCGACAATGAAAACTGTCTGGAACATGGTCCCCCCGTTTGGCCCTCGAGCTGCGTGTGCCCCTCGGCGACCTCGCAGGCCGGAGGCCGGGGCGGCTCCCAGGGCGGCAGAGGCTGTAAAGCGGCCCTGGAGGGGTGTCCGCCCCGCCCCCAGCGCTGTGGGGACACCCCCTGACCTGACTCAGCCGGGGCTGGGGACAGCTGGGGCTGGTCAGCTCCCCCCGAGATTTCTGGCTTGGAAATATCTGCGTCTGTATCTCCTGTTGGCGCAGCGGGTTGAGCACAGCGCTGTGAAGCTGTCCTCACCTCTGCAGCGCCGGTTCTATTCCCGGCCCGCCAGGGAGGCGAGCAGACCTCTCCTGTCCTGCCCGCTGCACCCCTCAGCAGTGTATTTCATCAGTCTGCCTGTTCTGCTCCCCACTCTGTCTCTGGTGAATCCTCTCACCCTCACACCTCTGGCCTGTGCCCCGGTAATTGTATAAATATATCTTTAAAAAAAAAAAAGACTAAAAAAAATCTGCTTCTTGCTCGAACTCGGGGTCGGGGAGCAGAGGTTGGCAAAGGCCAGGTCCAGACGCTGTGGCCCTGCGCCCCGCGGGGAACGGCCTGGCTCCTGGAAGTGGTGGGTTCGCGTGAGCTGTGGGGTCCGCCGCTGCTCAGGCTGCAGGTTCCCCCCGCTAGGCCAACCCTGATCACTTGCGCACAGCATCCGCTGAGGACCAGATCTCCCCTGAGCAGCCTGGGGCGCGGCCAGAGCCCCGAGGCTCAGAGCCTGGGGTCGGGCCCGGTGGCCCCAGCACCGCGTGTCCCAGGCCTGGAGGGCGGAGGGTGTCATCCTCTCGGGGGACAGGATGCCCAGGGCAGGTTCTCTTGGTTCCGCCCCCCGGGGACCTGACCCAGCAGCGGCCAGGAGAGACCGTGCTGCTCCTCCTTAGACCGCGGCTGCTCCCGGCTGCCGCAAGAGAGAGGTCGCGGCCTCTCCCGTGTCGAGGGCGGACTTGCGGGCCGTTCCCGTCTTTCTCCCCAACCTCCACAGCCACCTCGGGGGAGTCTGAGCTCTGTGGCCGCCTGTGTCCACGCCCGCCTCAGCCTCAGGGGCTGCCAACCCCACGGAGGCTCCGCATCCCTCTCGCCTCTGAGAACCCACGATGCCCCCACCAGCCTGGGATGCTGTGCTTCACGGGCCAGGGCTGCGGCCCCGCACTGGTTCCTCCCCTTCCTTCAACCTCCCCTACACCCAGGGAAGAGCGAGAGCATCAGTCAGATCATCGCTCGCTGGCCTCACGCCTTCCCGTGGCCCTACTGGGCGTGACACTTCCCCAAAACCCCTTTGCACAGGCTTCCCTGCCCCGCTGGCCTCAGCCCTGCCCCCGCCCACCTTCCCTCCCTGTCCAGCCCTGCTGGGTGAGCTGCCCTTCTTTTTTGTTTTTGATTTTATGTATTTTTACATAATTTTTCATTTTTGCCAATGTGTGCATTTTCACCTTGGTTATAGTTTCCGTATAATTCCCACCCCCCTTGTTTGATCCTACTCCCTCCTCCCCCGCAGGGTAGTGTGTCTCTGGCTTGTAGTTGCTGTTGATTGAGATTTTTACTTTATTATGATTAGTATTTCCCTGGTCCCTTATTTAGGTTTTCTAAATTCCTGCTATGAGTGGGACCATCTGGTATTTTTCTTTTTCTTTCTGGCTTAATTTGCCTAAGCATGACCCCTTCCAGCTTCATCCATGTTGCTGCAAATAGCATGCATTCATATTTTTTTGATTGCTGAGTCATATTCCATTGTGTATGCACCACATCTTCTTGATCCTGTCATCTATTTTGGGATATTTGGGTGTCCTTCTTTCTGCCACATCCTGTTGCCACCTGGGGCATTTGCTCTTGTTCTTGCAGAATCCCCAGCCTGCACCTACCAACTCTCTGACCTTGCTTTCCTCCAACCCACATGTCACTTCTGACCGCCTTGCAGGCAGGTGCTGCACATTTCTTCCTGAACCACATCCTCTCCTCCCTTCACAGTGTCATCTGCACCTAAATCATACTAACATGTTTTCAGAATTTCATGCTAGAATGGAATTCCCTCCTGTGTCTTGAGCTCCTGACAGTTTTGCTTATGTCAAGAATGCTGTTGACTGACCC